CAGAATCTGCCCCAAAACCCCATTTCCTGTCCATAATTCACATTCCCTTCACCCCCAGAATTTCCTGCTACGCTCCAGCTTTCCCCATTTATCCACACAAACCCAGACACAGTGGATTCTTTTGAGCTTCCYGGCACAAAAAGGGTTAAAAGTGGCACCATGGTGTGTTCCTGGATTAATTCCTGCTCGTTAACGAGGGTTTGTCTTTAATCCATGGGGACACAATCARCAGCACAGAGGACTGGGTTAATTAGTGCCCTAACGAGGCTCTGACATGGCTGTGCCCCCCACACTGAGCCCCCACATCCCCTGGGGCAGAGGGGGGAGGGTTCACCTGCAGGAGACCCCAAAAATTCAAATATCTGCTGGAACCATCCAGGAGACCCCAAAAATCCAAATATCTGACAGCATCCTGGAGACCCCAAAAAAATCAAACATTCGACAGCATCCAGGAGACCCCAAAAATCCAAAATCTGACAGCATCCAGGAGACCCCAAAAATCCAAATATCTGCTGGAACCATCCAGGAGACCTCAAAAATCCAAATAGCTGCTGGAACCATCCAGGAGATCCCAAAAATCCAAATATCTGCTGGAACCATCCAGGAGACCCCAAAAATCCAAATATCTNAGACCCCAAAAATCCAAATATCTGCTGGAACCATCCAGGAGACCCCAAAAATCCAAAATCTGACAGCATCCTGGAGACCAAAAAAAAAATCAAACATCTGACAGCATCCAGGAGACCCCAAAAATCCAAATATCTGCTGGAACCATCCAGGAGACCCCAAAAATCAAACCATCTGCTGGAACCATCCAGGAGACCCCAAAAATCCAAATATCTGACAGCATCCAGGAGACCCCAAAAAATCCAAAATCTGACATCATCCAGGAGACCCCAAAAAATCAAACATCTGACAGCATCCAGGAGACCCCAAAAATCAAACATCTGACAGCATCCAGGAGACCTCAAAAAAATAAAACACCTGCTGGAACCATCCAGGAGATCCCAAAAATCAAACATTGGATGGAACCAGCCAGAAACCCCCAAAAATCAAACATCTGACAGCATTCAGGAGACCCCAAAAAATCAAACATTGGATGGAACCATCCAGGAGACCCCAAAAATCAAACATTGGATGGAACCAGCCAGGAGACCCCAAAAATCCAAACATCTGACACCATCCAGGAGACCCCAAAATTCCAACATTGGCTGGCATCATCCAGGAGACCCCAAAAATCAAACACTGGCTGGAATCATCCAGAAGACCCCAAAAATCAAACATTGGATGGCTCCAGACAGGAGACCCCAAAAATCAAACATCTGCTCAAAAACCCAGAAGCCCCCCAAAAACATCTGCTCACAAAATGCAGGAACCACCCAAAAATCAAACATCTGTTGGCACTATC